TAGGGTTTCCTAAGGTTTTCCTAACTCTTATTATAAATAGTGGGACAGGCTAACACAATTGTTAAGCCTTCTAATTCTTTTACTTTAACACTACTCTACATTAGAACTGTGCTATTTTGATCTAAGTGGTCCTATTCTTTGTCCCATGATAGGAAACATTGCCCCTCTGTTCATTCATTTCTTCCCAAAAATGAAAACTATGAGTTTGGCAACAAATTTTACTCCAATATTTTCATAATGATTTTAGGTCGAGCACAAAACACTAACTCTTTGTGTATACAGATGTCAAAACCTGTGAATGAACAGAACATAATACTATAATATATAAAAATCAAGCCCCTATTTGACAACCATTAAATCAAAACTCATTATTTCTCAAACTCATTTTCAATCACACATTCTCATAATAAAATATTTTGCATGTAAACCCAAAAGAATTTCAAACTTTTTACCTCACATTCTCCAAAAAAAATCACTGTTCCAAAACTCATTTTAATGGTTGTCAAACCGAGGCCAATACTCTGGACAAAGCACATATTTTATTTCATATTTTCTCCCACAAACTTCTCTCCAGTTCACTTGTGAAATTCTTTTCAATCAATCTTAACAAGTGTCTTTCACATGGCCTATACTAGCGTGGAATAATAATCCTCTTGAAGCCAGACTTCTGGCTCCATTCAGATGCAGACAGCTTCATATAAAATGTTCAGGTAACATAATGGTTTGTCACTCCAATATTATGGGCGTCAGCTATACATTTGTGTCATGCAAGGAAACTAGGATTCAGTGATTGTTTCTAAGGCTGATAGCTTTTCTTTCATTTCCAAAGCTCAGAAACTTTCCTTGGAGGGCAGGTGAAAGCAAGTCTTTTCTATACATTCAATGGACAGTTCAGAATTAGTTTGATACTTTCTACTGTAGCCATTCTACAACTCTTCGTGTTATCAATTACAGTGACATAAATTTTTGTAAGTATAAATATCACGAGGATGAATTGACCACTCAACACTAATGGTCTCTCATTTCTGGATCTACCAAACATTCACACAATTTGATTCGACCGTATAAAATTTTTTTAACAGGGAAGCAAATTACAACAAAATAAGAAAAAGACTTGTCACAAACATTCAATTCTACATTTTGACTCGTCACCCCAACATTTATACAAGAGGTAATCTTTTGCCTGCCACCAAAATATAGGCCAATTAGTTAATTGATGTTAACATACATGAATGCTTTTCTTCCTCATCAGAAATATTCACAGAATTACTATGCATCAATTACTGCTCAAGTACCCGTCCAATTTCTACAACTTATCAAATATTACAAGGGTTTCTGCACAAATTATTTCGAATCAATGTCTTTAAAACACAGAAAAAAGTAAGGGGTGTGTAGCTCATCAAGTATACATTGTATAGACATGGATCCAGGACCTTTTAACCATGGTGCCAAAAACATTTATTAGTCGTAGGAAAAGAAATAGAAAATTGGCTTCAGGGAGAGAGGTAGCTGTACAATAAAAGGGGCTTGGCTTCAAATATGACAGATGCGTGATTTATATCTTTATTAAAGGCTTGATTGTCAAAGATTTTTTCAACATCATTTTTCTCCAAAATCATTTTCAAATCACACGTTCTATGGACCAACACAACTTTTCCCCACTTTTTAACCACACATTCTCCAAGAAAAACATTGTTTTCCTTCGAAAAATCTGTTCCAAACAAGCTTTAAAATAAAAGCATGTGTGAAAGTTTACTGAATAATATGGTAACCTAGAAACTTCATCATACTAGCCGCAATGCAAGAAACATGACTCACTTATTATAAAGGGCTAGATTGTTACCTTTCGTAGATCAATCATGCTAGACATGTTCCATCATTAGCAGAAATGGAAATGTTTCTTGGATATTGAAGAGTCTGTTCTTGAAAATCAAATACGCCACTTCTTTTTATACATAAAAGTTCTCGTGAAATTAATAATCCCTCGGAGAAGTTAAGCATAAAAAATCTGCAAATTAATAAACAATATGCTTTAGATCAAGCAAGCAAACTGAAATAAAAATATATGATGAATTTCATATATACTACACCACATGAAGCAAAGTGCACGGTCAACAAACACCTAAAGCACCTACATTGCGCTTGTAGAAGAAATAGGTGTTGACAGAATAAAAAATTAGTTAGATTTAAGCAGCCTGCTAGCATATTATAGAAATCTGGAGAACAGCATAAAACTTCGAAGCTGAATTAGGTTGTGATTCCAGATTCTCTCTAAACCACAAAAAAGACCATTTTGATTGCATGTGGCATCCACAACTAAACATGAGAGAAAGCAAGATAAAGAGTCAGTGTAAAAATCCAATTCCCTCCCTCAACAAACAAATGCTTGATTTCTCGATACTGATGAAATGGAACCATATACAGCTGGAATTTGATTCTCTCATTGGTATTATTTTCCTTAGAACAAGTTAAAAAGAACTTTTACATTTCTTTGACATCTATAGTATACGAAAATGTATCAAACTACAGAAGCCTTTCATATAGGACAAATGAATAAGTGGAAAATAAGGTGCGCACGATGAAAATTCTCTGTATTCGTCAATATAAGCAAGAAGATAATTTTAAATGTCCAGATTTCATATGTACCTATAATACGTGCCATCTACAGAGAAAGGTTATGGATAAAACACAATAGGGGCCATAGTCATTTACTACAAGTCTACAACATGGGGGTTTCTAATTTTTCTACATTTATCATATCCTTAAGTTCCAAAACTCATGTGATGCTTTTACCCATTTCATGACAAAATTAAGTTGGAAAAACCAAAAGAGAAATAGCAGAGGCCAATATTTTTAAGGAAGAAAGAAAAATTGAAACTACCACTTCATATTCCACTTGTTGATAAGATGAGGATCATTCAGAGCCTGCATGCTCGCCCAAAGTATATCTATATCTTATAGGATTGACAATCTTACTAGAGTACCATATATATACTTCAAGATGGCAACTCATTCTTCACACCTCAGGCCCACGTGAAAGGGTAAGCAAGCATGACCGAGCCATAGAAGTGCTCCAGTTAAATGTACAGAAAATAATAACTAAGCAAGCATTGGCTTCATTTGCAAAGCCAAAAATTTCAACTAGTTTTTTTAAGCCCAGAACTCAAGTAGTATGCACTCCAATTAAAGTGTACAAAAAACAAAGCCCTAATGTTGTACAAGTTGGATATTATGTTACAAAAATAATTACTCATG